TCAACTCCCAGAATTCCCCAGCCAGCATGGGAGTTGAAGTCCACACATCTTAAAGTTCCCAAGGTTGAGAAACACTGCTTTAAGGAGCCTTACTTGGGTTTGATATTCAACACCCCTGAAAACGGGTCTGTTTGATCTGGCCTTCTTAGGTAATGGATTATTGCATCATGGCGGGATTGAAAGAACATGTTAAGCCATAATGTGGTTTGCTTGGTTTATTGCGCAAACCCTGCCAATGATGGCTTATTCAATAAACCATGGTTAAACTGGCTTAGTCAATGACCTTAGCAAGACATGTGAACCCAGCTAATGTGTGTAAATCTGCCACATCTTTCTACCTGTATGTATGTATCCAGCCTCATTTTATTAAAAAATGACATTTACCTTTCCTGATATTCATTCAAACTGGTCACCAGTGCAGCTTGCAAAGCAGCAGTGATAAATGTGCAGATCGTGAAATGCCCATCGCTTCTTGAGCTGTTGTTTTCTGAAGTAGGTATAGCTTCTGGTTAGTCTTCAAAGGCAGCTCCAGGTAGAAGGGATGGCAGTAGTCTAAATAAGAGATGACTGAGGCATAAATGACTGAGAAATGGGGCTCTTATCACAAGGAGTTATGCAAAGACACTTCTTGTCATAGCTGCCTGAAGCAGGAACTGGGAGTCAAGAAGGACCCCAGTTATAAACCAGTTTGGGCTGGAGGAACATGAGCGATCCAGAACTAAAGGTGGAATAATCCTGGAGATGTATGACTTGCTAATCCATTTCAGTCAGTCTCATTCCAGGAGGTAGCTAAATCCTTGGAGAACTAATCAGAGCTTCAGGAAATCCTCCAAGGGCCATCTGGAAACCAAGTGGTTCCATTTATACAGGAGCAGTATATCCGAGTGCAGAACATTTCAGATGACCAACCTTGACTCATGGCAGTAGAAGTTAAGCAGTGTTAGACTTGTTTTTTTTCACCCAGGGTTGGAGGATAACCTGGGAAGTAAAATCAGTACCCAGAAGAAGGCAACAGTTAACCATTGCCATACTGTTGCCGAAAAATGACATTTGCCCATTGATGGAGACAGTTGGAGTCTTTTAAAGGAGGGTCTAACCCTGTCTTGCTTTTTTTTTTTTTTAGAATGGCACCAGCTTCCATGTTTTCGATCAGAGTCAGTTTGCAAAGGAAGTCCTGCCCAAATATTTCAAGCACAATAACATGGCCAGTTTCGTCCGGCAGCTGAACATGTGTAAGTACAGTAATGCTTCAAACTGTAGGAGTTGTGGGGGGGGGGGGGTCTGGATACTACCGTACCACATGCCCCTTCATCCCTAATCACTGTAGTGCTAGCTAGGCTCTGTGACTACCCAGACCAACCAAGATGAGCACCTATAAAGGGGGGAAACAAGAAAGGGATAGACAAAGACATTTTAGTAGAAGCGTAGATGCATAGCCTCAACATGGGCTCATATTGAAAGCGACATCTGAATTGACCTATGAATTTGCTGTGATTTGGGGCAGAATTCAGACTGTTTATACATGACAACTGCTGGCCTGCTGGTATTCTGACTTCCCTTTGAGTTTAAGTCTCTAGTTTGCTGGTGCAAGAAAAACATCTAACGTAGATGCAGGCTAGATGCTCTGGGGTCTCCCTTCCCCCTTTCAAGTGTACAGTCAGATGGGACAGATATTTCACCATGCAGAAGCCCTGGTCCGTGCCCCTCCTGCTGGACTTCAGTGGGCAGGGGCTGAACTGTGGCACCTAGTAGATGACCATCTGTTGCATTTATAAGATGCTTAGAAAACAAATGACAAGCTTAACTTAAGTTAATGACTTAAATATTGACTTAAATATTGTAAATTTAATGACAAATATTGTATAATTTAAATTGGTGTTTCTCAAACTTGGCAACTTTAGGATGTGTGGACTTCAACTCCCAGAATGCTGGCTGGGGGATTCTGGGAGAGATCGGAAGAGCG